GGCAGTGCACTGGCCCCGTCCACCCACAGCGCTGTCCAGGTACACTGGAAGAAGCCTACAAGCAGCATCCAGAAGTCCTCTGTTGTGGCAACTCTTAGGACACACCTGAAGCCTACCTATCTAGCCTACCACAGTGGTAGTTCACTAAGTCAATTCTAGTGCCTTTGTCTCAAGCACCATCATGGCACACTGTTTGTAGTCTTGACATGGCTCTGACTTGGTCCTGGTTGCTGGACAAGCTTGAGGCATCCATTGAAGCTTCTTCATTTGCTTCACAAAGCTACCTGCCACTACTACTGCAGTATTAGAGGCTGCACAAATAGGAAGCCAAGCCCTGACCCAAAGCCAGGTTCAGAGCAAGCTGTGTGGAGACCTGACTGCAGGGTCTGCAGTGACCACTATCACACATTGGCTTCTCTTACTGGGAAACAGCAGATATTGATGGGAGCTTCAACATATTATCCCTACTGGGATTCCCTCTTTGCTACAGATCCATATATTAAATAAGGTTTTTTCCAATCTGCTTTGCCTCAGGTCAAGCAACACAAAGGGAAACGCCAATGCTGGGTAAGTACAATCCTGTCATAGACCCACATGCTCCAGTTCTTCATGTATCTGATAATACTCACCGCTCCAAGCCTCACAAGCCCCAGTATGACTATAGGCTACATGAGGGCACACAGACCCATCCACAAAGCCAGGGCAAAAGTCAAAGCCTTGCTGACACTGATGCAGGATCCTCCACTCAGGAAGCAGGAAAGTTTCTTGTGGTCTTGTCCTCCTCTGCCCCCTAGAAGGGGTGGTCAGACAAGTCTCTGTCCTTGAAGTGGATTGGCTCCTGCAGTTTTTGGTAATTAGTTATGTGCTTCAAGTCCAACCCAATATTATAGAGTTAGTCAATCAGACTGAAACCTCTGCTAAGGGATATCCCAGGATATTTTTGATTTTGAACTTAGAGGAAAAAGGAAAGTTCAACTAGAATACCAATGCAGTGAGAGAAGATATGAGTTTACTCCCAAACAAAACCTGTTTACTGCACTTCAAAAAGAAGTTTCAGTTTAGACACATTTTAAAAACTAAGTTTTTCAATAGCTCAGTTTCTTTAATTTTAACTAGCTAATGTCAATTATTGTTGGAAAACAGAAAAGTCTGTAAGTTGTGTAAGCTAATACCCTCAGAGAATTTGGTCATTAATTCTACTGAAAAAAATAAAGCAAATATCCCATCAACTCTAGCTAAGATTATTATAGTGATTTCAAAACTTCAGAAACACTCTGTATTTACACTGATGGCAGAATCCTACCGTAGCAAAAGTAATTTTGCAACACTAGGTACTTCCTAGGCATATTTTCTCTTCTTCATTTTCTCTCTAGCTTTCAATAGCTACTTTAATTACATTCACAATTACTATTTGCTTACTGACAGAAAAAAAGTAGTAGTAACATGGAAGTCAAGTAAAAAGTAGTAGAGTTGTATATAATATATGTAGCTGGTACTGGTAATCTCATTTGACCACTACATAGGCATGTTGTGACATGACCACAATACATAAATATACAAATCAGTTTCTTTCTTGCTTCCTCTGTTTTACAAAATTCTAAAAAAAATAAAAATTGAAGTAGATGTCTAGAGTTTTAAGGCTTGATTACTTTGACTGAACTGAATAACTCATATAATGAAAAGTTATCTAGAAAAGCATCCAATTTCAATTTGGGGATACTAATAGATGGTCATCTCACCTATTCCCTGAGTAGCAGGCTCATAGGGCTCCTCACCCTCACCATCAAGGTACTCTATCTTCTTCCACACTTCAAATTTCCTTCCTTTATCTTCCAGGCATTCTTCCTCCTTATGCTTTTCTCCAACACATGAAAACCCTTACATCTCTTTTTTCCTTCCCACACAGAAATATATGCAGCAAGACTCTTCTCATTTGTCTCAACAGCTACACACATAACAGGTAATTTTCTCAATGATTGTTTTCCTAAACTTCCCAGCACTTGATTTCTGACTCCCTTCCTAAATTTCAACATCCTTTAAAAAGCAATGCATGCAGTTATTCAGTACCTGCTTAACATCTGTGCATGATGCTGGCAATGACAAGCTTTATGCAGCCAAGAAGCAATTAATCCTTTTGTTACAACACTTCAAGAGTTTAAGTTCAACTGTTTGTTCAGAACAAGACCTGTATCTTCAAGTTTCCAAGCAACAGGCTTTCTGTTGATGTGGCCCACATGATTTTCTTGCCCCGGAGCTGCATGTTTACATTAAGGCTTTCCTTAAATCAGGAAAACCTTCATAGAAATAGACTGCTGAGTAATTCCAATTTCACATACACTATTATACCTTCCAGGGTAAAGTGCTATAGACTCTTACCAAGACTCAGTGTCAAAGAGTTTGAAGTGCACAAAAGGAGTAGATGCTTTGCTCCTGCTTTTTTTTGGTCATGTTCTCTGAGAATAGAGAAAGTTTCCCTCCCACATTTTCCCCACATGTTCCCAGCATGAATGGCAACTTTAGGAGTAAAACCCACCATAGGAATAATAGGGGAAAGAACAAAAACAAGGCTGGCAGAAGAATGGCTCATCTTCTTTCTTCTGTACCACAGGAATATACTATCTTGTCACCGCTGCCTCACGAGGCACACTAAATATGATAACAAGCACTTCCCTCCTCTTTCTAAGCCAACTGGAAGAGCAACCACAGGGGACATCACACTGTCAGCTCCTGCTGTAAAACATGCAAAGGCTAATTATGCCATGAGGCAGACCCCAGAAACACACGCTCTTGCAATCTTTGTACACTGGAGAGGCACTTCAATACCAAAACAAAAACTTCAGCTTCACTACATATTTATAAGAGGGAACTTCAGTTCTTTTCATTAGTCACTCAAAAAGCCCAGAGGAAGCTCTCGTTGCAGTCAGAGTTGGCCCTTCTCATTGAAAGTTGTCCAGCCAAGGCAATGAAGAGCCTAGGTTGTAAGATTTAATTTCAAGCTGTTTCAGTAACAGTGTGCTATTGATATGCCCCTTGAATATTGCCCAGAGCCAAGAACACCCACGCAGTATAAAGACATAAAGCACAATGAAATCTTAAGTGAATGGGTCGATTCTACCCTCCCTTACACCAAGGCCAAGAGTATCTCCATTCAGTAAAAAGTAGCGAGAACGAGACTCTAAGTCTCCAGTAATATCAGGCCAGCTGCAAACAAAAACTGTTTGGAGTTTGGGTTTGCTCACTGACACTTGTAAGATAGCAAAAAGGGGAGAGGGGGGAGGTCCTGTCAGAAGTGACTGTCCCATCCACATCAGACAAAAAAATCCTAAGGTCTGTCCCAGTCTTCATTGTTTCTAAGTGTATCACCAAACCAATTGGTTTTAAAAGGGGTAAACTGCTATTTTCCACAGCTACTTCAGTGCAAGATGAATAGGACAAAAGGCACAAGTGCGCAATGTGCACAGTTGGGTGGGCGTTTTTTATCCAAATAATATGAGGGGAAAAAATATTTGTGGAGTCGCATTTTGCTGCAGGAGGTGAGAGAACTGGTGCAGTTGCCCTTACTTGACATTTCTGATTTCGCACACCATTATAATAAAGGAAGAAAAAAGTATAGTTGAAGTCATAAGTGAAGTTGCAAAATGCATGTATAGACGTGGAAATTACTAGAACCTTTAATATTCAGATTTGGGGTTGTTTCTAAGTATCACCTGCAAAATGTAGGCAGCTGTAACCATCTCAGCGGTTGAAAAGGTGTATTGCATGCTCTCAGTTGTTTCAGCCCACGTGTTAAATGCACGTGAATAAATTTATGAGTCAGGAAACAGTACCCATGAGCAGACAGCATTTCAGACACCAGCTCAAAACGCTAAACATAGCTAACAAGTCTCAAATCAAAAGGTTTTTCTTTTACATTTTGGTGATAATAAACTTGGTGCTCACAAAAGGCTCTCAACGGTTTACAAACCAACAGGCTTTTTAAGGCCTGTGAAAGTACCTGCCCAGTCAAACATCAGAAGTCTGCTAGTAACTAAGATGTCTTTACTAACACCACTGATTTCTGCCTCCAGAGTCGAGTGAAAAATCTAACCAAAAGTCCCTTACCTCAGGAGTTAACCAAGCTTTTCCTGTAACTCCCTCTCCTTCAAAGGGTGATATTAATACAAACTTGGACATTTAGATCTACCTACATCAGATCCTCTGCAAAGGGCACAGACCAAGGTGAGAGAATCTCCTTGTGGTGAGAGAGGTCATTCACATGGGCCTGTTTCAGAACCAACAACATCTCACAGATAATGGTGACAATGATAGTGGGAGATCCCAACACAAAAAAAGATGAAATCACAAGTTCCCCCCAATTTCCATGGAACACAGATTTCACTTCACAATTAAAAAAAAAAATGCTGAAAGACACCTTAGGAAACCAGACCTGAATTGCAACTCCAGCAAGGTACAAGACTTAAATTTAAGATGCTGCAGGCAAACAAATCAAGTCTTTTCTTAGGCCTGCTGGAATTTCTTGAGGAGAATTCAGAAAGGTGGAGAAGGGAAGAATGGTAGAGTGCCTGCTGCTGAAAGACCCCCTTCTGCCACACCTTCAGTAGACAACACAGTTACCCAGTGTAAGCCCTCCCCTACTCTCACCTCTGGTGGAAGGAAAGAAGGGAGCAGCAGCATTTACCTGAAGAATTTCCAGGCTTTTTTGTTGTTGTTGTTATTATTCATTTTTAACCCTCCCCAGGGCATGGGGAAGGAAAGCCTCATCTGCAAAAGACTTTGAAAAAAGTGAGGCTTTTGAGTGCATCAGGTTACAGGAGTTTGGCTGAGTGATACTAGGCAAGGGCTGAGTGATACTGGGCACATTAAAAGCCAATTAGGGTCTATATAGCTGGGTTCTCATGTACTTACCACCTCACAGGCTTCTCTTTTTGATGAGCAAGGCCATTTACCAACCTACTCAGCAACAGTAGTCTTGTAAAGTGTACATGTAACAAGTCACAAGTTGTTCCATTTATTTGAGTAAATATCTGGTAAATAAAATCATCGGTAAACATTACAAAATTAAATACATTAAAAAAGCTTGCCAGTATACATAAAATTCACAAACATGTACTTCTTTTGAAAAATAAAATATGTTCAGAGCACCCTTAATATAAAATGCCTGACTAGTGTCACCTACCAGCATATGGTAGCTTATTGAACATTTCAGTTAGGACATTTTCTAGGAGGGAGCAGGGATCTCTCTTCTGTTCTTGCTTTTACAAGTAAGAGAGCCCAAGTTAAGCAGTCTCCCCACTTCTCAGGGCAGAGCCATAAACAGAGACTATAATATTCTTTGCCTGCCTTAACAGGAGAGGAATCTGCATTTGATTAAGACCACATCATTAAATGCAAGACAGTGCTTGTAATTAATTTTGGAAGCACCGCATTTCCTCCACAGTGAAGCAGCTTTTAAATGGTGACGGGCATTTCTCTAGATATCACTGCAGGCCCTTATTCAGTATAGGCTAGCACAGTTCCAAGACACCATGAGGTGGAGAGGAAATGATCTGGCAAAGCATCAAAGTCAATCAAATAACTTTAAGTCTACAAATTAAGCCCTTAAAATTCCCAATTCTCATATGCTGCAGTCTAAACAAGGAGATATCATGAAGTTTTTCACTGGGCTGCTTTAACAGTATTTAGAAAAATGGCAGCACTCATTTTAATATTCTAAATTGGTACCTTCTGGTAGCAAATTTGCAATAACCACCATTTAAATAATTTACTGTAACAAACGTTTCCTTCCATCCATGTGAAACAGTATTCACAACCCACTTTATAATTTATGTACAGACAAGCACAAGAAACTTGACATCCATGAGTTAAATGTACAACCAACTTAAAAAACGTTATCCAACTAGTTGCAAGAAGTCTCCTAGCTCTGTAAATTTACAAGATCTTCTGCTTCACCACATAGGCTTGCTGCCCCTCATGACTAACTCTTGGATTCTTCACTTGCTTCAGTAATCCTCAAGTGAAAGCTGAGCAGCATCCGAATTGTTGATATTCTTGACAAAAAAAAATTGACACTTAGAAAAGAACCCTTAAAACACACAAAAGAAATTCCTTGAGTCAAAACTGAATGAAATCAAAAAAGTTGTGGAGAAAGACAACTATTTTAATAAAGGTCTTGTATTCAAAGTCCCATTTCCCTTGCCATGTCTTTTACAGAATGCTACTACTTCAAGTTATTTATATACTCTTCTTTTGAGGGGGACTGAGTTTCCTCATTCCTCTTATCCGAGTTAGCAGCTCTTTGATAAATTCCTAGGAAAAAAGATTAGAAAATATGAGTAATTTTTATGATCCCATAATACCATAATTTTGAGTTTAAAAAATATCAAAGCAAACTATACATTTTTATTTAAGCTTTTACTGTTAAGCTGAAATTTCTCTGGCCTGATGTCCAGGAACCTTATTTGCATACTCTAATCACACAGTGGAGGTGTGAACAACTAGCTTTTCCTCTGCATGAGCGTTCAGGCGCAGTGGCTAGCTGTCTTTCAGGCTTTTACTGCACAGGGCCTTCTACCAACTGTTGAATCAAGCAAAATCTATGGCTGGATACAATGCAAGTAGTCAAAGCAGAATTTCACAGTTTAAGCCTGCACAGAAATCAGCACTCCTGCCAAAAGAAGTGTTTCTTTCACCCCTCTCCGTGCCGACACTAGCATTTTGGTGGGCTGCTTGCTCAGCTGGAACAGAAAGCTGATCTGGCTAAAAACTCAACTGTTTTTCCTCTTGCCCCACTACCATCCAAGCAGGCTCAGCTCTCCAACCAGGCTCACCACTCAGCCCCACACCAACATTCATGCCAGTCTGAGGCATGGCAGGAACAAGTAGGCAGAGGTAGCACCGCTGGCTTATGCTGGGTGAAACCGGTTGTGGAGCTCAGTGAATGACACTATTCTGAGAAAAATTATTTTATATATATATATATATATATTCATGGACCAAGTCTTTATTCACAGTGATAATTTCCCCAGTTTCAGCACATTTTCTCTCTTTAAATTGTGGGAGAACAGAAGTGTTATCTGAAATCCTTTTGGTATACCATTTCTTATAACAGCCACAGATGCATTAAAAGCTGAATCACCCCATTACTGTGACATTGGGAGAACGTTTACCCACAGTACTATGTATACACCTAAAAAAAAAAGGTTCTTATCATGAAATCATTTAGCTATAACGATGGAATGCAATTATGGATTTAGTCAGTCAGGTTGATGTGAAAGGACAAAAAGTATGACTTCCTAGCTGAATGCTTGAGGCTAAAAATTCCAGTGAATAAGGTCACTACCTAAATGACACCACAGTACCTTTCAAACAAAGTCACATTGAAACACATTATCCAGGTGCCACACTGTGCATAAGGAAAGTCTCTGTAAATTTGTATTTTAACTTGAGAAAGATGTCAGATTTTTCTGGTGGGACCACAACCCTGGCAGGTATCACCCCAACAGAGCAGTTTCTTTTCCTGACAGTTTATGCACATCTATACTGTACTGCACATACCGTTGCACCACGGTTACTGCTGCACCAACACTAGCTACGGCTTCAACTAACAGCAGCAAAAGCAGAGCAGCACACACGTCAGCATGGGCTACAAACACTCACCGAGAACCTTTTGTGTTTTGGCCTCCTCTACTGAACTAACTAAATCAAGGCCAGTACAGGAATATGTCTATGCATACCAATACTGTGCTTCCCATCCGGATAGACAGAGAGCCTAAAGAGATGATCAGAAAAGCAGATTTGTTAAGACCCCAAATCCTCCCCTTCCACCCTCTAGAAGCTGTCTTCTTCCACACAGGTACAAGCCACTGCAACATTATCTAAACTGGTAAGAGTACAGTACTTATCCATTCAGAGGTCAGAAAAAGGAGGGAGGCAGGCTTACTCTAAAAATTCACAGCTTTTAAGGCACTATGCATTGGTTCTGCATTCTTCTTTCATCATTGCAAAGACCTGCTAGATAATGCAAAACTAATGTGGCATGGTGCTGTTTGAAACACAAATACGCTTCAGTATTTTTTTACTATCAAACTTAAATGAAGCCCTGCAATGAAATCATTATAGAAATAAACTCTCTAAAGTAATCTTAAAAGATTTTTACTTGGGATTAACGCAATTAGTCTTGCCTTTCAACAGCTCTTTCCATAAAAAGCCATGCTCTCATGCCAAAACATCAGATTAAGACAGCTTTGGGAAGGAACAGACTGAAGTTCAGTTCTTCCCTTTGGAAGACTTCATTAGTCGTCTGTTTAAGCCACAAATACCCTACACTACCTTCACTCACCATCAAGGCAGCAACATGACACAACAATTGGAAACTGTCCAACTGCTTCACAGAAGTTGGAAGTAAAAGCCTTACAAGAAGAGGCATTTGCAGAGCAGACAGGGAAATCCATGGTACTCTGAGTGTACCCATTTGGGATATCCCTGTTTGTGAGGCAACTCTGCCATTTCTCTGCCTGTTTTCTCCTGGAACTCAAAGTTTGGAGCAAGTTTCCCTTGAATATGAAACACAGAATGGGGTCAGTTGCTTTCCAGTACAACACTTCAGCAAGGGAGGAGTTCCTCCCCTTATGTGCTGAAGAGGTACCACAAGCACCTTCTTTTGCAAAATGAGGTATTTGCTTGAAGTTGTCAAGCAAGTTTCACACCATCTACAAACTTCTTAGCACTGCCAAAATAATCCAAAATGTAGGGACAACCCCCTAAGCAGACCTGAGGTAATTGAGACTATTCTTAAGGAAGAATGGTATTGTATTCTCTTAGGTACATACAATAATTGAAAATGCTTTACCTCTCAGGAACTATTTTTCTTGAAATAAGAGTCTGCAGTACCAAACAGTAAAACCCAAGGCCATTTTGTATGAGGCAGACATTTTACATAATGCAATAAGGCTGTTGTGCACATCCCACAGGTGCGCAAACCACAGTATTGGTTCAGTATATTTCTGATTTAAGTATCATTTTGCACCTGATATTTGCATGGAGATGGCTGTCATTAACACAGCTGTGCTCTGGTGCTTATGCCTTTCTTATTTTGCTGCTCCCCATCAAGGAAAGAGCATTCCAGAGAAGATGTACGTTTTCCCTCTTGGAGGTAGGAAAGGAGACTTCACAGCATTTCAATAAACCTTCATTTTATAACTAACAAACTCAGCTTTATGACACTAATACCCATTTGTTTTCTTTAAACATCACTCAAAAATTGCAGTTTTATTCCTTGTGGACATTTGAGTCAAGGCTTAATAGAAGGCTTAATATCCACATCTAGCTCAACCTCATACACAAACATTATTTTACACAGAGCGTTTTACTGAAATCCCCTCTAGGAGACATGCTTAAGTTTAACATCATGCATTTGAAAGCTGATCATGTACCAATCTATGTTAAAAGTAGTTCTGTAATACAGGTTGGATTATCTACTTATATAATACTTATTTAATTCACAGAGTTGGAAGACATTTAATGACAATTCAGCTAGAGATTCAAGAACTTATGAATTATTCCTTGGAGGGCCACAGCCAGAAATACACAGGACACATCCACTTTTAGCAGAAGAAAAATCTCATACCAGCACTTTGGGCCTTGGTAAATGAAAAAAAAAAAAAGCGTACACAAACTCAGTTGAAATTCTTTTTACAGGTTTTCTGCAAGGAGACCACCTTTCAATACAGTTTTGTTGCAAGTATTGACAGTCTTGTTAATTTATAATACAAAATCATTGTTTTTCTAGACATCTTTCTAATTCTAAAGGCAAATTTAAATGAGAGACAGAGACTAAATCTATACTTCATTTGAACTCATCTATAGTCAGCCTTAGGCATTTGTCTTCTCCCTTCTCTAGTGCCTTCCCTTGAATCAAAGGCATTCAGTTCAGCAAAAGCATTCATCTAACTTAGAATAATAATAATAAAAAAAAGACTACAAACAAAGGTGAAATGATAATTCAGAAACAGGGAGGAAATCACTTCACCTCTCTGCTTTGGAGGTGTGATTCATTGTTTTAATGAGGTCATTTGACAGACAATGAATTCCAGGCTTCCTATTCAAGTCTTCCAATTAATTCTGGAGACTAATTAAACTCTGTCTCTCCAGATGTCTCTTCCACAAACAGTATGCATGTAGTAAGACTAGCTCTCAAACCAAAGTTTAGGGTTTCTAGTCCTCCTGCTTCACTAGAGCATGAAATGAATCCTAAACCAGCTTTCCTTCACAGCTTTCATTCCCTGCAGCCAAGTAAAAAAACAAAAAACAAAAAAAACAAAACAAAAAAAAAAAAAAAAAAAAAAAAAAAACAAAAAACAACCAACCAAGATTTCCTTGACTGTTTGCCCAAGGCTATTTCCTGGAGAGAGCCTGATTGGTTGGACATAAAAAGTAAAGTCAGCCTGGAGAGCAGCCCCCACAGCTACCTGGGGAAGAAACTAAACAAGAGCTCAAAAATGTTATCTGAATGGGAAGGAAAAAAAGAATAAGGAAAAAGAAGAAAGACAAAGAGGGAACCCTACTGCTAAATACCTTCCCTTCCACACAGGCTCAAACCCGAAGCCAATCACAGGGGAAGAAGGGAACTGACAAGGCACACATGCTTTGGGAGGACAGTGCCAGAAGCTGCCTTCTATTAGCAAGAACTGGTGCAGCATCTCTGTAGCCTCACTGAACAATCCCACCCGCATGGCCTCTCCAGCAAGACCACAGCACCATCAGTGCCCAGAGGACAATACAAAGAAATGTAGCTTCTCGGTAAGCCCTGTCCAAAGCATTGACTCCATACCACAAAACTTAGCTATGATCAAGACTTATAGTCCAGTTATTCTCTAATTCAGCAGCATGTAAACAAGTACAGCTTATTCTTGTTAAATCACTATTTGCTCCTTCATTCTTATAATATTGCTATTTATAAGTTGTATTCATGAGTACTTGCAGAAATGAAAATATGCAAACTTAATTGCCTCCAACACTGTAATACAATATAGGGCAGATCTCAGCAGGCATCTAAAACAGCTTTAGTTTACTGAATTCAGAGTAGTCAAATGGATGAACATGAAATCATGTTTTTCTAGAAATGCTTATGTCTGCATTGCTTTTAAATATGCATGTTTCTTAACTTTTTTTCTCTACAAAATGTCCTATTTGATTTCAAGTAATGTGGACGCATAATACAGTTACTGTGTCTTAATAATTTACCACCCATCAGCTGAGCTGCAATAAATGTCTATGAGCTCCTAGACTCACCCAGATGTAAGGTGAGC